AAGACGTTGAAAGCCTGTAAAGATCAATTATTGTGATTTCAAACATTTATTGAGGTGAAGAGATAAACTTGCAAAGAGATACTAATTCTTCGACTGGTTTTGTTTGTGGCAATGAAGCGGTTTGGTTGGGATGCGATAAAGTGACGCTTCGTTACTATCAAAAATTTCTATCAGTACCGACGGGGACTCACACGAGGTACTCAAGAGATCAGATAGGCCCATTTAGATTCGGCCAGTAGTCGATTCGAAGTAACTATTAAAGGGACAGTTCACAATAGTTTTGGATTACTTAGTTTTGGACGAGAAATGGAAGTGATAGCCTGGAATAGTGCATAAGTGGCAAAGAAAACACGAGAATCGGCGTATTCAGAGAAATATCAGGCTTTGAAAAAGAAGTAAAATTGGAGGTCGGAGAATGCTACGACAGAGGTTGCATAGGAGAAATGTTCGAAAGATCTCTTCAGAGGTGCGCGTCATTGCTTACATCTGTCTGCAGTGAGCTGCATGTGTATAAGGTGTGGGTCACGGCGCGAACGGTATAATCTCTACAGCTTTCACAACGCTTAACAACTCGTCCACCTTGGATGTGTACGTCGAGTGGCCGGTTCTAGACTTATTATGCCCTATCTTGACCGTTTTTCGAACCGACAGCTTTCTTTCAGCTCTTTGGGGGTCACAGGTCCATGAAAGCAAAGATCTCAGGATCCATTTCAAAAGTGACTGTGCCCTTCAAGGAGCGCAAAAATAGGCGTATACGTAGAAATATTAAGAAATACTTTGGCATGACTGTGGTCCTTGGCATTTGTGCCACAGAACTATGGGCCTTCGAATTTGTCTGATTTAATTTTTAAATATGGACTATGCAAATCTCCGGTTCCAAGCAGAATGATGTTGTTCAAGTGATCTTACCTTCGTGTTTCGGATCTTCAAATCTCCAAGTGCCATTTTCATTTCCGTTCTTGTCTGAGCTTCGTTTCCAATAATACTGAAAAACTCTGAAAGGATATGCGGAAGATCAGAAATCAACTCAGTGAAGTTTTGCTTGAGTTCCTGTTCTATGAGCGTTCTGTTGCGATTGTACTCTTCCACTTGTTCCTAAAATATGTTTTCCTTTGCTAAATGTAGTAAACAACCTCTCCTGGTTTCTCACGCTTCAAATCTCTTCCTGTTCAGTATATATGGAACTCTACAAAGTTCTCGCTATTTCCACTCACCTGCAAGCCATTTTTAACTGCCCAATCCCATATTTCGCTGTTTTGCTCAGCGATTGTTGTATTTCGATTCCTCAGAATGGCACTGTACTCCTTCCGCGCTTCTTTGGTGGCATTCTTCAAGAAAAGTGGCTGAGGTGCTCCTTTACGACATCCACGGCCCATATAACCTCCCAGATGATCGGCCATATCGTCACACATACAAGTCTGTATTGACGCAATGACGATGAGCAGAACGAAAACGTTCTTCATCCTGGAAAATTTATTGATTCGCGAGGCATTCTCGAAAGTGAAATATTTCAGAACTATGGTCGAATATGATCAATGTGGGAACTGAGCGCCAACCTTTCTTATATACAATCGATGTTGATGCTAATCTATGAGGGAGTCGTTGCCGTAATCAAATGACCATCGCTCGCTGGAACTCAGGTTGGCTGCAATTTGCTAATTCCGTTTCTCCTGGGGCTTTTTAGAGCAGGGCCTTTGACTTCTTCTTGAGTGTTTAGTTCTATCGGAGGGCAACAATGAATCGGCTAATCGAGGGTCTGCAAAACCGGTTTAGAATTGTTCGCAAAGTTGGAGTTGACGTAAAACCTTTCATGTCAATGTTTACTTGTTTATCAGGAATTTTGATCGAAACATTGGCGAGTTTTTGACTCTCGACTCTGACTTACTGCCTGGTTTCACTGCTAGAACGTCTACAGGGGCGAGAATTTGATGGCAAACACTCCGTCGTAGTTTCAAACAAGATTTTCGACATCTGTTAATTATTGAAGGATAAACGCCACAGCTTTTCCTCAGGTGAAGTGTTGATATAAATCCATGAAAGATGTGAAGCATCGAGAACGGCATATTCCAGAGTAGAGCACCTACTGGTTTCAAACATACTATGGAAGTGTTAGTCCAGAATAGCGCAAAAGTTGCAAAGAAAACGCGATAAATCAGCGTACACAGAAAAATATAAGGCTTCGAAAAGTGAAATTGAGGATTCAACGGGGAAGCGACGAAAAAAAGCTGCATGGAAGGAATATTGAACGAGCTGTTCGAACGCGCGCGCTCGTGCATTCAGCTGGCTGCATTACGTTGCCTTTGCGCAAGGTGTGGGTCCCGCTGTGAATGGTCAACCTCTAAAGCTTTTACAGCGCTTAAGAACTCATCCGACTTGGGTGTGTACTTCGGCTGAACCTAATTTGGGGTTCCTTATTACGTCTTATCTCGACTGTTTGTTGACCCAACAACGTTCTTTGGGCTACCCTTGGGGTTACAGGTTCGTCCAAGAGAAATCTCGTTGTGAGAAATCAAATTTGAGGTCAATTCTGCCTTCGATCGAATTATTTTGCGTTGTGCGCTTCATTTCACTTTCCTTCTTTCTCATTTCTCTTTGATACATGAATTAATTCTATTCCTATTTTGACAAATTGGTATATAGCGACGAAACTATTGAATATTGTTATAAAACAGTCTATACAGGTCTACTTGTAGAACAACGTGCCCCAACGCAAACGCTGGACGCTGAAGCGGCCCGCGCCAAGCACTATGGGTTGACGCTTTTGTGCATCAGCGTCAAAGGCGCCTTGACGCTGTACTCTGAAAGCTATGTAGCGGGTGGGTGTTTGCATACAGATACAGTTTTCTATATAGTCTCCAACTTCTCTCTTGTTTTAGCCTCGACCTAGTTGTTTATGATTAAAATATTTTTGTGCCGTGCGAGGTTGTTAGGTGGAACAATTTATTAATCTAACGGCCTAACGTTTCAACGCTTCTTTAGAGGCCACGGTTCCACCGCTCAAAACGGATGTAAACCCGCTGTCGCCACAAGCACCTTTCAGTGCGAATCAGTAGTTTTCGACATAAATGAAGCAGGAATCTTTTAGTGTTACCCCGACTTAAGAGTTTTGCGGGTGAGGCACCGCCATCGTTCTTGACTATATTCTATAAAATCGATGTTTGAATGGTTTCAGTGGTGTTAGATACTGCCATTGCTTTCTGCAAACGAATGTAAATCGTTCTCTCCAGTACTTCCCCAAAGCAGGATGAGCATGCTGTCAGCCTTAATGAACGCGCTTCGGAAAGGGCAATGCTCGAATCGATCGCCAACGAGATGGTCAGACATCTTCATGAAAGCTCTGAAAGAAGGGGATATTGGACTTCTTGTCCCTGAAGCGAGGACGATTTACTGGACTACTCTGGCGAGTGGAGACGTCACTGGCTCCCGCTCGAGGAAGTCGATGATCAACGGGACGACAGGTGATACCGGTGATACTTTCTCCACAGTTGGAAAGCTCAATTTCTTTTACAAAGCAATCGAAAAGCCATTAGAGCATCTACTGTGTAGAGAATTCGAATTTCCTGAGAAGTAACGGAAGAGAACGATGATTTAAGAACTGCATTAGGAAGTCGATGATCAACGGGACGACAGGTGATACCGGTGATACTTTCTCCACAGTTGGAAAACTCAATTTCTTTTACAAAGCAATCGAAAAGCCATTAGAGCATCTACTGTGTAGAGAATTCGAATTTCCTGAGAAGTAACGGAAGAGAACGATGATTTAAGAACTGCATTAGGCAGGGAAGTTCTTTGAATTTTTGATGTCTCATAGCGAAGATTGCGACGTCGTTTGCTTCTTCAAAGTCTGAGCGTTTTGCCTAATTAACTCAAGAGATTTCAGTGACAAGACGCAGTTTCGGTGAATTTCTCTAAAAATCATAAGCAGCTAAAGCGAAGGAAAGACTTAAAAGTGCAATGTACACTATCGTTGAAAGAGTCTCAGCGATTATATGTAATTCAGCTGAGCACGGTACCACAACCAAGAGGTGATCAGAACTCTGTACTTTCTGACTCCAATTGATAACCCTTATCAAATGCTCTGGTGTTCAGGAACTGAAGATTTTGAATTACATCGCACAGGGGATTTGTTCATTGAAGAAACGCTGAGCAAACGCTTCAAAAGAGAAATTGCTGACAATTTATTCCTGAAGTGATGTCATACTAAGGCGATAAGGCAGCCATACAAGGTTCCCTTCTTACAGCTGCGCCTTCGATCACTATTCATGTTTTATCACTATCGGGGCTCTCCCAAAATCTCCGAAAGTGTTGAATGAAGTATCCCTCGAGTTCTGGGCCTACATTCATCGTCAACGGTATGAAGTGAACCGGTGCGAATTAGACTGTAAGCCATCAATGATGAAAACCAGAGGAGCCTAGTTTTTTTCGTTTCTTAATGATTTTGAGCTCACACAGCTGTCCTTAAGGGAGACCGATTGTTCGGTAAGTGTGTTGCACTGTTTCAGATGGAATGTGTAAAACTGACCATATTGAAACCATATCAAGAGCATGATGATAGAAGCCGCTAAGCTGAGGAGGAGAGCTTCAGAAAGGCACGCTCTTGCCCTTTTTTACATTAATAAGTACGTGGAAATTCGACGACAAATACAGTAGGCTTTTCTGATCACCGAAGAGACACAAAAGGAGTCGTATATAAGTTGAGCCGATAAGCAAACACCTTGGAACGCGATTTCGGCCTATTACGTCCTTTACTTCGTTTTGAATTTGTCATTCATTTGGTCATTTATTGTGCTCTCGTTTTCTCAGTAAAGCTGATTTACAGACAGCTCTTTCCTTCCCATCCCTTCCCCCACCCTCATTTCCTCACTCCCTCACTACATCTCCAGCTTCTCTCTGATGATTCAAATTTTCGGAAAGCTTCTTGCATCCGACTTCCACTCCAGATCGTAGTTTCAATGCTTATGTGGCCCAAACACTGTCTTGGAGTGGCCAGACAATTTTTCACATGATCAAACCTAGAAAGGTGGGGAATTCAATCGGACTGTGCGGGTATAAGGTTGGAAAATGCTCCCTACCGCTTCCACCCAATTCTTTTAAATATGGTTTTCCAGAGCTCTATCTCCTGAAGTTGTCAAAACCAAAGTTATTTATAGGTTCAGAATGAGAAGCGCTCTGTTCTTGCTGCTCATCAGTGTGCCTCTGTTGTGCCTCGGCTATAAACCCCGTCATCATCGTGAAGAATGCCACACAGCAAAACCCAAACTGACGTTTCTGAGGGGATTGGGCCGAAAAGCTCGTGCAGAATTTTGTGCCATCAAGATGAGAGATGATGTAAATATGGTTGAGCAAAAGGAAGAAATCATGGAGTGGGCCAAAAAGCACGGAGTTGAGGTAGGTGGAAGTTTCCTGGAATCATAGGTATGGGAAGCCCTAGCACTGCACAAATATGGTCACTTCTTCAGAAACAAGTTGAACAATTCAACAAAGATATGGAAAGCTATGAAGAAGAGTTAAACAAGAATGTCACCCAACTAGCCAAGGATCTGCCTGCAGTTCTTGAGAAGTACATCGCTATAACAATGGAGAAGAATCAAACCCGGACGGAAATGCGAGATGCGCTCAAAGAGCTAAAATCTCAGCAATTCGAGGTCAGGGTGTAGCTTCAGCGATCTCTCTCCTAAAAGAGAAACTATTTCAGGTGTTTGGAGTGCTAAAGGAAGCTTTCGAAGCGTTCAAGCCCGATAACTGCCCCCGTCGTAAGCCCCATAAATTGGATTCAACCAACTTATTGATGAATGTCATGAGTGACGACGCGATGGAGGATGTAGATGACGATTCTGAAGAAGTCGAAGAATTCGCGACAAAAACGCAAAAGGACCTTTGCCCATTTGCTGATTTTTGATGTGTTGAACGAAATTGGAATAAAGTTGTGCTGAAACATTACAAGTTCTGACGATCGCAGCTCAGAATTTTTTTTATTACTGAATTTTTTTTACGGAACCTTTTCTTATTTGATTGAGGGCCTTTTCGGTTGAGGTTGTTCACTAGTTCATCAGTGCACGCTGCACATGCTTCTTGATTATGACTTGGTCAATAAGATTAGAGGAGATGTCAACTGTCTGGTAGAGCCATTATTTCAGACGAAACCACATTGGGCAGTAGGCCCAGGCTCGGTACAGGGGAGAATACGTTTTTCTGAAGACAGCTTTTTGTTCTGCCTTAACGATTCCCTCAAAGGCCAATTTGAAGGTGGGCACATGAAATTTAGTCCCAGACAAACCTAGTTCACTACTGACGTAAAAAGTCGAAGTCCATCTGGCATAAGACTCCCTTGTCTCTTGCTTAGTCCCAGAGCGAATCACCTTCCAGACCGTATTTGGTCTTTTGCTTCCCAGTGCCGTACCGTTGATAGCAACAGTTACTGTGCAGACAGAGAACCAATACTTCTCTGGTCCTTCAAACTTTTATTCTGGGAGCATTCGGGACACAGCCGTTAAGTGGTCCACAGTTAGCACAAAAGACGATAGAGCACCATCACAATTCTAGAATCTAATGGCATATACTGCGCATATCCCTGAGCTTTCTTCATGCAGACCCCTTTAATCTTCATACTTTTTCTACTTCAGCCGTTGTTCCAGAAATTAGGATTGCCGTTCTCTCGTTCAGCTGTTAGCCTATTTCCCTTTAATTTGGGAAATCACTTGACCGATGCTTCAATATCTGGAAATCGTTCTTAAACATTGCTGACCATTTTTTCGGCAACCTGCAACGCATCAACGAACACGCACCTACCCATTCTCCTGTACCATTAAAACTATGCTGTGTAACCCGTAACCACCGAAAACCAGTAGGCTCTGTCTGGGCGTTTGAACAGTTTAAATACCATAACGGGTAGTAATAATCAATTTCTCATATCGAAAGAATGTACTCACATCAGTAAAACACAGCTAATCGCTGAAGCATACACTTCAAAGCAATAACTCGCTGCAATTGAGCGGTCCCGGTAACTCAGTAACCAGAAAACATCATATGCTTTCAGTCCTTCGAAATTTTGAAGGAATCGGTTTTTCTAAATTGATTTTTTTGTATTGAACTCTGACACGCACTGCATTAGCCACAACAGGCGTGGTGTCTTCAGAAGCAGTGCAAGTTTGGAAAGGCCGGTTCGGTCCTCCCTCGATAGTATCGATCCGATTCAAGCCACCCAGCCTCAACTAATCTGATGAACTGTACATGACCTATACTTAAAGCAAATCAGCCGACTCGGCTAAACACAGCTGTGCAACAACATGCCACCTCCTGTGCCTCCCCATGCCGTTCGTCTGTTGAGCACGAGTCCAATCTCTGGCAGACTATTTAGAGTGCAGAGAGCATTTCGGAGGTATTGAAGAATCTTTCAGAGAGAACTCCACAAACGGACTTCAAAATTAAATATTTGTAAAGCTCAAAAATTTTTATTAATCGAGAAATTCTCAAATTATCCACAAACACTGTACAACAACTTCTTTGGAATGATTTCATGATACGTGACCGGTAATTTATTCGTAGAAAGGATCATCAAGTTGATTCTGATCGAAGACTGGGCTGTCCCGTCCTTAAAGCATGAGAACTTTCAATAATACCGACACACTACTTACAAGTTAACCGTGAAAAAGAGCTGAACTTCAACAAACCTCCTTGTTGTCCTCCGAATTCCTGATCACGTTGGCCACCCATCATTCCACCTGGTCCACCGAAGCCACCTCGTCTACCTCGCCCACCTTGTTGACTATCCATCATTCCTCTGAATCCTCCACCCATTCCTATAAAGAACGACTTTGAAAAAGGCCAAACGTCTCTTTAATCATTAGAAACCACATACCTCGTTGTCCACCAAAGCCACCGAATCCTTCTTTTCCACCGAACCCTCCTTTTCCACCGAATCCACCTTTTCCCATCGGACCCATTGGACCTTCACTTCCAAATCCAGGAGGACCATGTGGTCGGCGACCACCACGTCTACGCTTGAACATACCCATGGCGAACCAAACGGCATGGTATGCCTTAAAAGCGGAAACTTGGAAACTTGGAGAGGGAACAAATTGCCATACATAATCCTCAGGGAGATAGTTAAGTAAAGTCCCACCTTTGGATTTTCGGCACTCAGGTTGCCCAAAGCCTTGAACATCTCGATACGGGTCTGATCTTCGTTGTCCAAGATGGCAGTTATTTTTTGGTATTCGGACAACATCGAATTGATAAGATCAGTTGTATTCTTCCTCATTTCAGCTCTTATTCTAGTCCAATTCGCATTGAATTCTTCTACTTGGTCCTGAAATGAAATGGTGCGTTACATGATAGGAGCCAAGGGATCAGTCTGTCTGCTGGAGAGCTTACGATCTTCAGAATCGGACCATGTGACCGGCCCAGAACTACAAAAAATTTTAAAAACTATATTACAGCATGTAAATATTCACCCTGATTCCATGCTCTGTAGCCCAGGCCAGAATGTCCTGCTTCTGCTGTGCAATCGTCTTGTTCATGTCCTTCATGATTTCGAAATACTCTCGACGAGCGTCCTCAGTGACATTTTTGAGATATGGTGGTGGTGGAGGTCCACGATGGTGGTGGCGATGTCCCCATCGACCACCGGGACCGAATCGTCCACCAAATGGACCACCTTTACCGCCTGGACCATCCATGTCATCAGGACCATTCGTATCATCAGGTCCTTCCATAACGCTCTGCTCGATCATACTACCGCCGAAATCGGCACTCAGCACTACTCCAATAATGGCAAGAATAACTATAGTATACTGCATCCTGAAAAATGACCATGACTTTTAGGAAAAAACGGAATAATAGCTATTGGGTCCAGTAAGGGTGCCATCAAAGCGGGTTGGCTATGATAGGCATAGGAAAAAAAAGGACAAAACGAGATCGGTATGGAATTATCCGGCCGACATCGCTTATATTCCCTGTTTTTGATGCTGATCTGTGATTGCTCCGCCTCTTACTATGACTCACAACCGCTCTATGCAAATAATCTGTTGAACTCTGGTTAGTCTCTGCTACTATGGATAACAACAATTACTACAAAATCGCAGCATAGATCATGGATCACGTAATTATGCACTGGCGATCAGGTTTTGTGAAGTTCTAACTGAATTTCCATATTGTACTAGAAAAGTAACGTGACTGTGACGTCAGTGAAGGGGTCTCGGAAAAGTTCGTGAACAAATACGAGTTGCCCTCTGCAAACAGACAATCGTTAGACTTTCCTGGCAGGCCTTCCCCTAGAACAACACGGAAACAAAACGGCGACTATAAGGAAGCGGATGTTCACGCTTCTTAATCCGCTAGTCTGTTGGTCGCCCTTGGTCTTTCTTGGTCGAAAGAGCCGGGAAACAAGCCAATCGGAGAGATTATTACTAGCTTTTTCGTCAATTCTAGCCTGGTATTGATAGCTCACTCCAACTCGTTAGATTGGATGGGCCATATAAAATAGTTGTTTGTGTTTTTATTTTCACCCTTTTGTTTACATGTATGTGAAGGTTGAAACTGTATGTGAACGGAGACGACTGCTTGACTAATGGTAAGATGTCTGTGGGACACCCTCTCCACTGTTGAGCCCAGAATTCGACTTCACTGAAATTCCTTAACTTTTTATTGAGTTTGGATGGCCGTTATTCAAACTTAAACGTAAGGTNGATTATTACTAGCTTTTTCGTCAATTCTAGCCTGGTATTGATAGCTCACTTCAACTCGTTAGATTGGATGGGCCATATAAAATAGTTGTTTGTGTTTTCATTTTCACCCTTTTGTTTACATGTATGTGAAGGGTGAAACTGTATGTGAACGGAGACGACTGCTTGGCTAATGGTAAGATGTCTGTGGGACACCCTCTCCACTGTTGAGCCCAGAATTCGACTTTACTGAAATTCCTTAACTTTTTATTCAGTTTGGATGACCGTTATTCAAACTTAAACGTAAGGTATCCTCCAAGGGGTCGCCCTTCTTTTTACCCCTCACTGAACCACGTTGCCCTTTTGAGAGCTCTTGAAGTTCTGAAAAACTCTATAGGCCCTTGTTATGTATGCTCGTGACGATGTTTTACCTTTTGGGCAGATCCAGCGGTTGGAGGAAATTCGAAGAATAGCGGTTGGAGGTAATTTGATGATTAAAAACTGTAGTGGTTGAGGGCATTCAGGCAAGGAGGAGAAATTGCAAATTTTGAGATTAGACAGTCATCGTTCAAGTCTTCATGAGGCCAGAAAAGTATAGGTTACTTCCTGTCGAACAGGTATAAGAGAACTTTGAAAAATATTTGTCTACCGTTATTTTTCTTTACCCCTGTGCGTGCAGATTCCATCGAACATCCATCATTCGAGTAGACAATCAATGGAATGGTTGAAAGTTCTTCTACCGCAATTAGCCAAACCGTCTAGAACCATTAAGAAACCAGGCAGAAAATAAATAAGAACATTCTTGCCCTTTTTCGAGCTTCTGTAGGGAAACACGCATCTTTTTTGAGGTCGAATAAAGTTTCCAGAGCTTCTTTGGTTTGGGAATTGATGCTGATCAATGATTTGAACTTTGTTTTCTTCAAAGACTCTTTCCTAGCCTTCATTTGCATTTCCCGATACTTGAAAAACGGTCTCTTCTGCTGCTACTTGCCATAAAACTGTTTAATGCTCTTTACATTATCAAAAGGGTTATGAGATTAACGAAGGAGACGGCTTTCAAAGAACTAGCGAGACAGAAGAAAAGGAAGTTCGAAAAGCAATGACAAGTCGGTGAGTTTAATCAGAAAAGGAGGAGACAAAGATCAGCAAAAAGCAGCAAATAGGACGGGAATGACATTTGAAAGGTTCCTGTTCCTTTCGATCGTCTGGGTAGCCCTGTGGGGACTTTCAGAAAAAGCCAGAGCTAGAGAAAGCATAAAAGAGTTGGTGGAGAAAGTCATTGCCAGAAATCAGTCTGAGAATCGGACTAGAATCAAGCGCTCCTGGTTCGAGCCAGCTGATAGAATCCCTCCTGTTGTTGGAGCTTTTTAGGGGCAAAGCGACTGGCTTTCGCACTTGTTCGCCTTAGAAGGAGATGCATAAGCCAGATAGGCAATTAGATGACTTTCCGATTTCGAATAGACGTCCGGTATATGGCTCATGTCAAGGAATGGCAATCACTGAGCGTTCGACCTTGTCAGCTCTGTGATTAGGATTTTGATATTATCTGTGATAAGTATAATATTTATGAGTACACACACCAAGGTACATAAGCTCATCCCATGCTGTGATGAATCGATCATGACCGCTCAATTTTCTGTGCCCACCATAAAAGATCTTCGCTCTTCCCTCATCCGGTTTATCACGTAAACATAAAAATTTCCTCGCTTTCAACAAGCATTCCCTTTCAATACGGCGCTTTTTATGTGTTTACTTTCCGTGTTTTATTTGTGCATCCTTGGAGCGTTCGAGCAACACATAAAAAAGTGAACTACATATCAGATGGCCTAGCTTTGAGCTATTAGCCATTTTCGGGTCTAGAAGGATCGACTTCTATCGAAGAGTGGAAGGTGAAGGTAGTGCAGTGGCCAGCTGTTCCTCTCCAACTCCGGACGACCGTTCATACTTTTCGGTAGTAGCTTACGCAAGATCGGCTTAGAACGACAAAAAACCAACACCAAGTTCTTCAATCCTATAAGTCGCTGTGGAGTCTCGAAGAGTCCTAACTGACCAGTCCCTTCTTTTCGATTGGAATTCAACTGTTCAGAGGTGATTTCTAGACCTTGTGTCACTTTCTTCCTTTCAATAAGTGGGATAAGCAAATATTGAGCAATAGTAATCTATTTTGAGCTACCGTAGCTCGTTGAGCATTCTCTGAACTTAGTTTTTCGTCCTTCTAGCTATAAATAGTAGTTACTCCAAAGCTACAAAGCTTAAGCACCCTCTTGACTAGTCAAATAATTTCTTTCGCTCTTTGAGCAGCTGCAACAGCCGACGAGCATTTTTCCAGCAAACACTGGCGATATTGTTAGGGTTGAAGGGCATTTGTTGGTTCAACTGTCTCCAGCCTTGGTCTGGATGTCCTGTCCTTTTTAGCCGACTGATCGGTTCCTTTTAACAGCTGTTCAACAGATCGGCTACCAAACGCATAGTGGACCATGAGAAACACACATTTTAGCCAAATATAGCTAGCCACGACCCTCGACCGTACAGTTCGGTCTAAGAACTGCTTAGACCTGGGAATTGAGTGCTTGAAAGACCGAAATTGCCAAAATTGACATAAATATGCCACTTGTGAGACGCAGAACCATTTGAAAGAATATTTGCACTCGAAAGGACATCAATATAGTTTTTGCTGAAGAGTAATAAATGCCTAATTATAAAAATGATGTCTATTGAAAGGATTGTACTGTAGTGAGTACTGGTCATCAATAAAGGTTGTTTTGACCGTCTTTTTCGTGGTGTTTGTTAAGAAAAAGTTCTCTGTCACTATCGAATGCGCTGACCAGCTCATTTTCTCGTCATCAAGGCCATTCGTATCATGAATCACTCGATCAAGCGCTAAAATAGTAGCAGCATTGTTCAGCTGCCCATTTGGTGTGTGACCGGTGGTGTTTGCCCAAAAAAACGTCATTTGACCATACATCAGTAGATTGATGAATCATGGTGAGTCTGGGAAATGTTCGCGGAAGAAGTGATAACGAGANTGCGGTAGCCAATCGATGTAGAAGATAGTGCTCTCATCCTTCCAGAAGGATGTGCTTCCGACAGACCGACCTCGATGAGGTAAAAACTCGGCTTATGGTTAGTCAGGTTGGGTGGGTATCAGTACTTGGTTCAGGTACCACAATTGAAAGTAGTTCTGGAATGTAGACCCTTATTCGGATGGAGATTCCTAGCGAATGTTCAATGGTTAGTCTCACCGACTAGTCTGCGGCAGAACGTTCACGTAACGGAGACATATCTGTGTACAAGGGCCTCAATGTGCAATGACCTCTCTTGTTGTCCTGTCTCCTTGTGAATATCTTGTTGGTACCCACTGTCCAAGTGACTTCAGAGGGTAAGTACAGTGCTAGTCTACTCGACGTTTGCCTACCCTGCTACTTCCTTGTTCTACAGCATTAGCTCCTTTTGCGGTTGAAACTTAAATCCACAACGAGCCCGCTACCATGCCTCTTTACCCATTTCTCCTTCTCTTCTTTGTTCCTTTTGGAAACCGGGGAATCATATTTGAAGGTCTCTTCATTTCTGAATGGTAATGAAGTGATGAACCAATACTCAGATTCAAAACAAGTTCGAGAAACCATTCGGATACTGCCTACATTACTTACTGCCTCACTATAGAATGTAGTAAAAAATCGAGAAAGGATTTAAGCTTATACAGAAGAACTCTGTAGAAGACATACACTCGGTTGGAAAAGGAACCTCCGTGTCGAAATCTTTTTTCTAGAGCTGCCGTCATCAACGATGAGCCTCTAGTCCAGGAACGCCTTCAGGAGTTTGATTTTAAGATTGCCATTAGCTTTTTTTAATCTCGATGAGATTCAAATTCACTCCATTCCCTGCTACTGGTATTCGCCCCGCTAAACCATTCCAGCAGACATGGTCCAGCCTTTCGATGGGATCTCGGTAGTGTAAGTGATTAAGGGCATGATATAAGGAAAGCACGAGTACTGTTCGTGTCCCGTCCGGGGACCTGATATCTGTGTCGTTCGAGTTTCAAAAAACACCTGTTGTCGCATTAAATCGTAAGGGCAACTATAACTAAGTTGGAATCTTCTCTATTTAGAGACGACCCCTAAGAAACAACCTCTACA